AGCAGCGGAGTCCCGTGCCTCTGAGGCTTTGCCAAAGCAAAGCCTCAGAGGCGCAGGACCCCTCCGCCTCCCTGGCTTTGCTCCACGTGTCCCTGGTCTGCTGGAGACGGTCCCCAGCAGACCAGAGGCACCCGGAGCAGCTTTTCTTGCCCCGGAGGTCGAGGTGGCGGGACCGCTGCGCTCTGGGCGGTCCCGCTGCCTGTGAGCTCCGGGGCGAGACAGCCCCGTTCGTAAGTGCGGATCCGACATAAGTCGGATCCGCGTAATTCGGGGACTGCCTGTACTCAATGCAAAGGAGTTTATGCAAATCAACAAATCATGTAACAGAACTAGAAAGAATAAGGAAGCAATCTGAGTATTAGAGCTTGTGTGCATGTGAGAGAGAGAGAAGTGAGCGTGTGGAGCACTAGCACTGATATTATGAATCTGTTTACTTGCCACACATTAACTAGCTACATGAAACCTACTACCATGCATTAGAAGTTTCACAGTATGATTTATGCCTAAAAGAGCAGTACATCAAATTATATTATGTAACTTTTATGCTCTAGCTATACTGCAGATGTGACTCCCCTCCTCGTGTACACACATTTGCAGTAACTTTCACCGAGCTAGCTGACTACAGGTTGAACTTCTCTGATCTGGCAACATCTTTGGTCCAGCATGATTTTAGTAGCAAGATGTCCACTTATCATGGATGTGGCCGTTTCTTGTGGTCCCATAAAAATTGTTTACAATCACCAGTCCTGGTTCTCAGTGTTCTGTGCTGTTATTTAGCTCTAATTTACCCCATATATGTCTTCTAAAAGCCCAGAAGTCTCAGAGGATAGCCATGTTAGTCTTAACTTTAAAAAATGAGTAGTCCTGTAGCACCTTAGAGACTAACAAAAAATAAATATATAGTATTGAGCTTTCATGGACAAAACCCTCAGTAAGCAATGGAAATCATGGTAATGCTATTAGAGAGTACTGATCTCTTGGGGTTTAGCAAATTCTCCGGTTCGGCACCAGTCAGATCTCCAGGGTGCCGAACTACAGAGATTCAACCTATACATACAGCAGTGTAGCTATGGTAGCGTGGGTAGCAGCAGTGGAGGCACAGGCAGTTGGTGAGCTGTAGAGTTACATGCTGGCTTGCTGCATCCTAAATATCCATGAAGACAAGCCCTTAGTTACACTCAAGAGAACTTTCTTCTTCTAGAAGAGCTTGAAGTCAAAAATCCCTTCAATATTTTTGAGATAGGGAGTGACAAAACAGCTTTTTTGCTCAACTCACTGAAGTTGGGGTGAACAATTTGATGCCCCTTTATTAATGTCTCTATTTAAAATAGCTTTCTAAATGTAAGCAACTGAAATGTAACTTTAGGGTATGCTCGCTGTGACTCTGCTACAAATTTTACTACCTTAATCAAAATCAAGCCTTCCTTCCAATACGGTATTAATAGGAAAGTTTTAGAACTGCAATTCTCTCTGACAAGTACAAGAACTCTTATTCTTAGACTGCTGGGATTATTTCCCTAAACTGCAACAGAAGTGGCTCACTAAAATAACTCTAAATACTACAGACGCTGTTTTAACTGAAAGTATGGAAGGAAAGGCACAAAAAATTGAAGATCTAAAGATATCACTGTGCTGCCGCAGTGTACAATTTTCTTAATGTTTTTATAATAAGAGCTAAAGTGTTTCTATTTCCCATTGCAAAGTACACCTGTTACAATGCAGGCCAATACAAAGAAATCACCATTAGGTTAGCATCACAGAACGCTGGAACCAGCTATTTCTGCACTATAAGGAAAGTGTTATTTTTGTAATTGGTTGTTGGTATGCCCACATAACTTGGTTACAAAAATCCATAATTCAAGCTGACACACAAAATCTGGCATGTGAGCCCAAAAAAGCCCTATTTATATATTCATGATGTTACAAAGACACATTTTGTTGCTGAAAAAAAAGATATGTTTTATTGCATTTGTGAGACAGCTACTCAAACTTTACTGAACGCAGGTACCAAGTGCAAACAGGACATTCATAATGACACTAGCGGCACAGTGAAATGCACGCTGGAATGTCTTATTGTACAGAGAGCTGTGAAAAGGGACTAACTAAACACAGACAAGCTAAGGGGATCCACTCTGTACTACAGAAAAGAGTACAGAACCAGTTATAGCAAGAATTGTGTGAGGTTTGGTTTCTGGCAAGCAATAAAACATTTAGCTGCCTGAGTTTCTATCTGAGCATTAATCATATATGGATACAACTTAATATTAGTATTAATAGTTTTGTGCATATACAAAACTAGGAAAATAATTTATGTGAATAAATAATAGTGCTAGTGAGTGCTAAAAAGAAAAGCTTTATCCTTCAGGTTTATAGATACACACAGCTGATGAAACACTGACTACACTGGAAAATTCAATCTATGATGACAGAACAGATAAAAACACAGTCAAAACTTCATATCCTGCAAGCAGATCTTCATGGGTGACAATGTGCTAGGTAGAACACCAATAAAATTCAGTGAGTGTTCCACATGGATCCAGTTGCAGGATGGGGTAAAAATTTTTGAAGAGGCACCTGACAGAAAATGGACTTAAAGAAGTTTACCATGGTTTTAAACATACATTTAAAAAAATAAAATATTTGTCATGCTTGTTAACACATTGTAGACAAAAGTCACTAGTTTTATTTTGCAAGTGAAAGATAAGTGATTAATTATTGGAAGATATTTTATTTGATGTCTAGTCATCTACACTTTGCAAGTACTGGTTAAAATATCTATTTAAATATTTGCATGCAAAGCCCAGTGTATTCTAATTTTTCAGTGCTGGAAAAGTTGCCATAAAATATTTGCTAGGGGGTAGATGGTGCAGCAAGCCCTTTACCATACTTATTGAAACCGGAAAATTAGCTTGTCTCTATTGAATCCACTTCAGCATAATTGACATTCTCTACTCAAGAAAGCCTCAGGACAAGGTGTTTTCAACTGAGGTCAACTCAGAACTCTGTAGGGGAAGAGAGATATGAAGGGGCAGAATCTTACCTGTCACTAGCACATGTGTTGGGGTCATGTGCTGAAGGCTACCATCAGGGTAACCCACTGGCAGAACTCAAAACAGTTGTTTTATATAGACTGTCTGTAGGCATGGCCCCTTGCAGCTCCCAATGGTTGTGGTTTGTCATTCTTGGTCTATGAGAGCTGCAGGAAGCAGTTCAGGCTGGGAATGGTGAACTGCCTGTGGACCGTGAATGCAAACAAAATTTCTCGTGGCCTGCCAGCAAATTAACCTGAGGGGCTGAGTGCCAAATGTTGCCAACCTCTGCACTGGTATATATTGCATGCAACCAACCACTGGCCTGACAGATTACTTAAAGTGACCACAGGACCCCTTGTTCACACATTCAGGATCTACTATAAAAGCACTAGACAGAGAGTTTTCCAGAATACAGATCCTTCATGTCTCCAATCAAGGTAGTTAAAGCTGGACAGTATTTCGGAACATTCACAGATTAAGTATGTAATCACCTAATCATTAGTGAGCTAACACTTTGTGCGGGATGTGAATCTGCATATTTTATAAGACAATACAAATTTCGTTATGTTACCTTCTTCTGATAGCAGAATCCAGAACCCATGGTATGTTTGTTGCTCCCAAAACCAAGATTCCTTCATTGTCTACACCAACTCCTACACCAGAAGAGGTAATATTTAATAAACGCTCCTTAAACAGTTTGAAATATAATGAAAGGTTAATCTTGTAAAATTACATATTATCTTCAGTGATCTTATCCAAGCTGTGTGTCAAACAAGCCAAAATGGATAATAATTGCTTTAACTAACTGTTCCTTAAGCCACTAATCTTACCTTGCATCTGAACTAGGAATTCGGTTTTAATTCGTCTAGCAGCCTCACTTTCATTTTCACTTCTTGATCCACACAGAGAATCTATTTCATCAATGAAGATAATAGAAGGTTTGTTTTCTCTTGCAAGCTGGAATAAGTTTTTCACTAATCTAGAAAAAAATTAAGTTATATTCCATGAGAAAGCAGAATTGATATTATTTTACTGAGTTTCCACCAGGGTCAGGAATCAAGGTTCATAATCGTGATTTTAAGTAAGCAGTTAAGGCTCCTCAAAGAGACAAAGTTCTTTAGCTCTAAATGGTGCTTCACTCTAACCAAAATCATCTGACAATGCTGGAAGAAAATGAGAACTATACATTATAATGCTTCAGTCATTTTGTCCTTTACAAGCTAGTCAGAACCCATGAAAAAAGAGACTCATTTGCTGCTCCATTACACATTAGATGAAATCTAATCAACTCAAGAGACTCTGAAGGAGTAATCTATCCACATTTTAGCATGTGTGTGTGTGTGTCTACCCACAAGTCGGTCTGTCCATTTGCTCAAGAACTCTTCCTAAATAGTAAGAGCTAGGACCACCAAATTTGGTATGCAGCTTCCGCTTATCCTAATTTAAGGCAAGGTAAGGGTTTGGTTGTGCCAGGAAAATGGGATGAGCCTGGAATCTGACTGTTTTCTGTAACACAGAAAAGGAAAGGTCTAAGAGCAGGGACAGCTATGCTCTGCAATGACCACCGGGAGCAGCGAGTGCAGGAGACAGTTATACTGAAGAGCGACCACACGGTGGCTACACCAGGAAGAGAATAGCCAGCTGGGGCCAGAGCTCTCTATATTGCTGGCAACAGGTAAGTGCCCCCCAGACCAAACCTCTTCCTCACCTCCAGCGCTAGACAGAGGGAGGAGAGAGACTCCCACTGGCCAGCATCTCCAATCCCCCACTCCTGGAAATGCTTTTGGAGCTGGCCTGCTCCCTCCCCCCGAGGAGCTGCTGGGGCCAGGCTACACAGACCTGGCCCCGCCCCAAGGTGCTAGAGGGGGGACACTAGCTGCAGTGCCATCCTCGTCACCAATGGGCAGCCCCTCCAAACCTTCCAGTCCCCTGCCCTGAGCAGCCCTCCCCCTGCCCTGAGTCCTGCTCCCCCACCCTCTGCCCTTAATCCCCTCATCTCCCAACCCCTTTGCCTCCCCCCACTACCTGCCCTGAGTCCCCCAACCCCTGCCCTGACTCCGGCATCCCCCACAATGCCAGCTCCCTGCCTAAAAAGACCGAAGCTGCTGGCTAAGTCTTCTAGTACTGAATAATAACTTCTGCAAATACTGTTTATGGTAGCACATTTGTTCTCTTTACATGAAGGAAGTGACCAAAAGGATTGGTATGCCTGAGTTCTTACACATTTCCACATTTATTTGTCCAAGAAAAGCAACACCATCCTTGAATAATATAAAAGTCCTTTGCCAACAATTTGAAACAGGAGTCCTAGGGAAAACTCTGAAAAATGACTAAAAATGCTGGTGTCAGATATCAGGTTTGCATCTCAAATTTGTTCCAGTTACAAATGAAATAATGGTATTTCCTAATTGCAAAAAAAGTCAATCTAGGGGATTTTTATCTTTTCTGATTTTCCACTGGCACCAGTAACCCTGACTCCACTGATATGGATTATAGTTTAAAGTATCTAACATTTGAGCAATAAATGAAACTGACTTCTCTCAGATTTAACTTCCTCAGCATTGCTGGTGCAATAAACTAGTAAGTTCTTCCATCATCTATGAATTCGAGGAAAACAGTATGGTCAAGACCTACATTTCTTTTTTGTTTGTATTTAAATAGCTCTTCCTCAGTAAGCCCTTCAGGCTTTGTACTCCTTAAAGAAACAAAACCAGTCAATATTTACCATTTTTCTCCTTTGAAGGTCACTTCATTAATCTCCCTTTTTTTTTTTTTAACAAAACTTGGAGAAAAATGATCCTCATATCGATTCACATATAGTGAATTCTCTCTTCATTCACGGCTGTAGAAGTGTGTGTCAAGATTGATGTGGGGAAGAAATGAAGTTCCCTGTCCTTATGTGGTTTATTTTAATGAGACATACAATACAGTATGCCAAAGCTTCATTAAATGTTACGCAGGAACTCTGAATGGCAAGCTGCTCAAGCACCCTGGTTTTGAGAGTTTGCAGTCCCATCCTGTGGAGGGGGCCAGGGTGGGCACCCGTACTCTAATCAGGGCTCAGCCCTGCAGCATAGAGCTTGGAAACTCTCAGAGCCCTAGATCCATCCAGTGCTCGCTCTCAGGGATTTCTTGCTATTGAGCCAAGAGCCTGCAAGAGTCTTGGGGCATCTGGATCCCCAGGCTGAAGAGTCAGGCAGCCCACATGACAGGCTGTTCGGGAGCTAGAGGTCCCAGAATCTTCAGCAGCTTCTGCGTGAATTGGACAAGAATGATATATGTCAGCTTCACTCAAGAGCTGCCAGTGATGTCACAGAAAATATTTCATTACAAAACCATGAAGTTTCAGCATTTCCAAAGCAAAATTTTTTGAATTCCCCATTGAAGGGAAATTTCAAAACAAATTTTTCAAAAACCTGAAATTCTGAGTTTTGGGTCAGGTCTAGTACTCAAACCACCTCTAGTTTTACCTACTTTTGAAAGCATCACGTCATTCTGCAAGAATGTGCAAAAAGAAAACAGTAGCAATTTACACTCTTGAATCTCAGCTGGTTCTGAAACACAGCAGTCTTAAAAATATTCAAATGAGCTACTTACTTTTCACTCTCTCCTAACCATTTTGAGACAAGATCAGAGGAGGATATTGAAAAGAATGTAGAGTTGTTAGCTTCTGTTGCCACAGCTTTTGCCAAGTAAGATTTTCCTGTTCCTGGAGGCCCAAACAGAAGAATTCCTCTCCATGGCGTTCTCTTTCCTAAGAGAAATGTTATTATCATTACATTACAGATATAGATCCCCCATTCTGTAATTATTAGTACATTAAATATATCTCACCTGTAAACAGATGAGGAAATTTAATGGGCAGTATCACTGCCTCTTTAAGTGCTTCTTTGGCACCTTCAAGACCAGCGACATCACTCCACTTTACATTTGGTCGCTCCATAATAATGGCACCTATAAAGAAAGAAATCAGATGAACTAGGAAGATACCATTCCTTTACCTAGGTCAAAGAGCCATCTGCAGTCAAGAAGAAAAATTAATACCTTGGGCTCTTTAGTCACATATGAACAGCTGCTTGTCAATTCCAGCATGGCTTCCATGAACAGACTTCAGCACGTACAGATTTTAACAATGTTTAACCACTACAGGTTGGAACCTCCTTGGTCTGGCACCCTAGAAATCTGACCTGTCCCAGATGAGGGATTTTGCCGGACTTGGGTGGTCATTTTTGGCCTCCCTGCCACCGGCCCCACCAACCCTGGCCCAATCACTGCCCTCCCAGCTGGCTCCCTCCTCTCCCTGGTCCCACTGCCATGTCAGCCCCCACTGCTCTACTGGGCACTCCATCACCTTTGCGCAGTGGACTCATGCTGTTGTGCCCAGCTCCTCTGCTGTGCCAGGCAGCCCCGCTGCCTCTGTTTGCCAGGTTCCCACTGCTGCTCCAGGTAGCCCTGCTGCCTGTGTGCACACCAGGCTCTCACTACAGCACCCGGCGGCCCAACTGCCTTCGCACACTGAGCGCCACACTGTGCAGCCCCCGTAGCCTTTGCACCGGGCTCCCGCTGCCCTGCCAGGAAGCCCCGGTACCCTGCAGCTTGCAGGGCTCCCTGACGCTAGCCCTCCACTGGGATTCTCTGGTCCTGGAACATCTGTGCTTGACCACAGATGTTGCTGAACCAGAGAGTCCCAGTTAAGAGAGTTTCAACTTGTATACTTTAGCAGAGTTACATTTCTGTTGTGACCAATTAGATTTAGACAATGCTTGAGACAGCAAGCGTGAGTTTCCAAGAGGTAGAATACTGTTCTTTATCATTTAGTTGCAGATCTTAAGAGTCTCTAGTGGGCAGGCCTTATGGGGAGCAGTATGGTTGAAGGAACAGAGAACTTAACTGGGACTCCAAAGACATAGATTTTGTTCCTGGCTGAGCCATTGGTCTACCAGGAGATTATGGTCAAATAATTTTACCACTCTGGAACTCAGTGTTCTCATCAGTAAGTCAGGAATAACGCCTCTTTTATAAAGCGTGTTGGGGTCTAGTTGTGAGAGCTAAGTAGGGTCCTTGCCTAAACTAGGAAAAAAATATTTTTTTCTTCTCTCAAGGTGCGTCTACACAGCAGGGCTAAAGTTGAATTAAGCTATGCAACTTGAGCTATATCAATTGCATAGCTGAAGTAGAAATAGTTTAATTCCGCTTTTGGCACTGTCTACACAGCAGAAAGTAGTCTTCCTTTGACTTCCCTTACTCCTCATTAAGTTACTATGAGTTGGAATAAGAAGTCCTCCAGCTCAACATTATTTTGAAATAAAAGCTTGTAGTGTAGACATGCTCTTTGTTATTTCAGAATAATGTCAAATGGGCTCTGATAATCACTTGTGGCAGGACCTCTGCTAGTTGATAGCAGATCCGTATGCAAGAGGTGATCCAGTTGGAAATCCTCTCTTCTGTCTGGTGGTGTACAGGTCTAGCTAGGAAATTCCTCACCTCTGGAAGAGTACACGGACCACCTCAGGGTAGAGCAATCACTCATGGCGAGAGAAAATTCCCTGATGAGGTGATCAGCTAGGATATTTTTGACACTGTGGAGAGGCCTCTAAGATGGATGTCATGGCCGATGAAGAAATCTGAGAGGTGGAAGGCCTCCCTGCAGACGGCTGAGGAGCATGCTCCCCGCGCCTGTGGATGTAAAACATTAAGGCTATATTGTCTGTTAGGACTCTTACTGTCCTGCCTGCCAGTTGGGGCAGGAAAATCCCATATGCTAAGCAGACTGCTGAGTTTTTACATTTCTGTGTAGTGTCATCTCCTCCTGGGAGCACATACCTTGGGTCTGAAAACCACCGGGGTACACCCCCCAGCTGAGGTCGCAGGTGTCAGACACCACTCGTTGGAGGGTGCCGGGTTGTCTAATGGGACTCTGCCTAGAACATTCTCAGTCCTCGTCCATCACCACAGCCAAGTAAGCACTGCTGAGGGGATGGTGACTATCTTTTTGAAGTGGTCCCTGGACTGGGGGTAGGCTGAGGCCAGTCACTGCAGAGCCTGAGGGGAAATTTGGAGACCTTTATGATGAGAGGTCTTGGAACCTCTCCTAGGGCAGGAAAGCACAAGCACAAACAGAATCCAGCACTGCGCTTAAGAATTCTATCCTTTGCAGCAGGGTGAGCATTTTCTGCATTCTGATTTTTCTGTATTCACGAGCAGGTCAAGGGATCTGCAAATGGAAAGGAGCATCTCGACTTCCCTCTGGATCTTGGACATGGAGTGACTCTTAATGAGCCAGTAATTAAGGTATGAGTGTATCTGCATCCCTCTGTGCTCAGGTAAGCAACAATCACTGCTGTGCACATGGTGAACACCCGTGGTCCTATCACCAAGCTGAACTGGAGGACCAAAAAACTGATAGCAGCTGGGATCCACCGTAAAGCACAGAAAGCGCCTGTGTCCAGGAAAAATTGCTAAATGGAAATAAGTATCCTTCAAATTGAGGATGTCATACCAGTTTCCCATATGCAAGGAACGGATGATGAAGTCAGGGAGACCATGCAGAATTTCAATTTCTGCAGATAACTGTTGAAACTCCGCAGGTCCAGGACAGACCCCAGCCCACCTTTGGGATCAGCATATAATGGGAATAAAACCCCTTCTTCTAATACTCTGGTGGAACTCTCTCTGCTGCACCCATCTGAAGCAACCCCTCCTGCAAGAGGAGGGTCTCGTGAGATAGGTCCCTAAAGCGGGACAGGAAAAGGAGATGTAGACAAACTCCAGGGTGTACCCGTTGTTCCTTCTAATTTTTATAACCTTAGTCTCTAAGTACTAATGATAAAACAACAAATATTCATTTGGCCTCAAGGCACTTTTCCCTCTTTGGATCAGCGTTCTTGCCTCATAATTAAATAAGTCACATGTCAGAGTGGAGATGATGTAGACAAAAATTATGATACACAATTTTTTTTAAAACAAACTATGCCAAAGATTAGTTTATGATAAAGGCCCCAAGGGTTGTCAGGTGTTCAGTTTTCAACCTAACACCCTGTCAAAAAAGGGACCCGCCTCAGCCCTGTGAAAATGAGATAATTGGAGAGAATGGGGGAGAACAAGCAACAAGAGAGGGTGGCAGATGCAGTGAGCAGCGGAGGATGTTGAAGAAAAGTGTTTGATTTTATTTGGCCAGAAGGTTGGCAAGCCCAAAAAATATTCTGTGGCAAGTTAATCCATCGCTCTGCTGTATTTTAAAAAAGGCAATTTTAATGTGTTGGTTAAGAACTCACTTGATAAAATTATTATTTTTTAGTGTCAGAATTACCTTGAAGTTGATTTTGTAGTTTCTTTTTTTCAGGATCATCAGACTCTCCTTCCCCATCACTATCAGTCCTAATTAAAAAACAAGTAATAAAATATTCAAGACACCTATCTTACATACTGAGGCAAACAATTTTATGAATGAAAACTAGTCTACCTCACTTTTTCTATCATTCTGGTAGAGATATAGGTAAAACACGCTACATAAAAGTTTGAGAAGTAAGGGAAACTCAAACAAGGAAGGGGAAGAGGAGAAGAAGAGGATACATTTTGGCCAAACAAAAACCAAAACTTTTCCCCTTGTAGTTTTTTTGACATTTACAATGAAATTCTATAGTTACTCTGAGGGCCCTACAGCCCTGTGGAATGAGGTTATTTTATTTCAAAAATCATGTACCAAAAATATAAAGCCAAATAGTATCATGCTCAGTTTCATATAAAATGTTATTCCTTAAAATATTTTGACAACTCTAATGAAGTACATTTTAAATAAGTTTCCCTATAGAGTTTCTAATGTTTCCACGATTTTTGGAAAATACTTATGGCCTAAATTCCACCTCTTCTATTTTTAATTAGATTTATTATAGGTACAGTTGTCTTGTTTATTATAGGTACAGCAGCAACTGGAGTTATTGGTCAGATCCAACTAGTATTGTGTAAAAAACCTAAGAGTGACATAAGGGAAATCCCTGGTTGCTGAAAAGCCAGCATTGAGGACATACCATATGCACAATTCTAGACATCCTAAGTGGGTGGAACCTGGCACAGCTCAGAGCTTTCACAAAACTAAAAAATCCCAAATCAACTGTTGCTCAGTTGATCAGCACTATAGCTAGAAACAGTTCTGGCATGTGTGTATTAAGAATGTCAGAAAAAAAATTATATTCACTGAAAAAGGAAACTACAAAGCCGTGCAAATAAACTGTGTGCAATATAGTCATAGTAAACAAAGTGATCACTACTTCTAATCTATCAGTCCTCATCCTCAAAGGAAACACACACACACAATACTCTCAAAAGGTGAACAAGGAAGCTTAAATTCATAACACTGCTAGACATTGAAGAGATCTCTATGACTCAAAGGCCCTTCTCTTTCTCACTTCAACAGAAGTTAGCTCAATAGGGTATTACCTCTCAAACAGTTTAATAACTGACCACAGTGTCAGTACATGGGAGAAGTGACAGTAATTGATTTACACTTGCTATATTGCAATGTCAGAACTGAATTCAGTTACCAGTGTGTCAAGTACAACTTTAAGCCCTTTCTACAAATCTACTACAAGCCATAAATGAGGGCAATTTTTCTGCAAATTAATTAAATTTTACTGCAGCTTTAAGTTTGTTTAATAACTGACCACAGTGTCAGTACATGGGAGAAGTGACAGTAATTGATTTACACTTGCTATATTGCAATGTCAGAACTGAATTCAGTTACCAGTGTGTCAAGTACAACTTTAAGCCCTTTCTACAAATCTACTACAAGCCATAAATGAGGGCAATTTTTCTGCAAATTAATTAAATTTTACTGCAGCTTTAAGTTTCAATGAAGAAATAAAATTCTAGGTATCAATGTAATTATCTAGATGTTCAATGAATACTGTTGCCAGTATCAAAAGTTCAGTGAACAGAAAAATGACTAACTGGTGCAATGGATTGGAGCTTTAACTTCTGGAGCACATGCTCAAAGTTGGCCCATGGTATCAGTGTTTTAAAGCTAATCATTGGTATTCTGAAGATCTAGGCCACGTCTACACTACAAGATTAGATCAAATTTATTAAGGTAGAGGTCTCACCACCCAATTTTGTTAATTTGAAGGTGTGTCCCCCCACTTTGCAAGAAAATTCAATGCTGTTCAAAGTAGGTTGAGGTAGCACATCCCCTGTTGAGAGGCCACTGTCAACTTTGAGAGTGATGTATTGTGGGAAGTAGGGATGTTAAAGACTATGGGTTCTGAGGAAATGCCACGCTGGAGCTCGGGATCATCTGGGGAGTCACCAGATGTCCCCGCTCCACATGCTGCACAACTGATCCCAGAATCAGTGTGCGGCGCTGCTCCTTTGAAAGCCGAGGCGGGAGTCCCCAGCTGACCCCGACTCCAGCATAGCATGTCAAAGCGCCAGTGCAGCATGGAACCCAGGGTCAGTGGGGGACTCTGAGTCCCCCCACTAACCCCAGGTTCCATGCTGTGCTTCCCACTGGCCCTGGGCTGCACACGGAGTTCCACGATCCTCCTGTAAAATGTACAAGAGCCCCCATAGGTTCCTCCTTTGTACATTTCAAAGAAGGAATATAGAAGTGCCTATCGACTAGTCGATGGAAATTCCATCGAGTACTGGACTAGTCAATTAACCGCTAGTTCACATCCTTAGCGGGAAGCTATACCACAGTGCTTGTGCCCCCTTTGCATTCTGAGTAAGCTCTCGGATGCGGGGACCAAAACCCTGCAGATGGTGGTTTTGGGTACACATCATCAGATTAACATAATGCACTCATCTACTCAAACCACCCACTTTACTGTAACAGCAATCATTCTTTTCGTGCCTTTTTTTTACCTGCCTACCTGCGTAGACACCATAGCAGCAGGAGTGTGGAGCTTGCTGCATGTCAGATCATTTTCACAAGGATGCTAACCATTGTTCACCTTATGTCGGTGCACAGAGTGTAACAATGGCCCACAGGAATGAGGACGCCATGAACATGCTCCTATACAAAGCACTTGAGTTGACCAACTTGCAAATGATGCTGAGTGTTTGATCCTTTGTAAATAGTGAAACGCTGGTTCTGGTGCAGTCAAACCAGCACAGACCGTTGGGACTGCATTGTGAAACGGGTATGCATGATCAGCAGTGGCTGCAAAACTTTCGTATGCACAAGACCACTTCAATGGATGTTTGTAAATTGCTTTCCCCCGCTCTGACGTGCAAGAATACCCAATTGAGACCCTCTCCAAGAGCAGAGAAGCACATGGCAATTGCTATCTGAAAGCTTGCAATGCCAGATTGATTCCCAATTGACTGGTAACTATCTTCATGGGAAAATCTACAGTGTGGGCTGTTGTAATTCAAGTGGCCAAGGCCTGCCAGCTGCAGAGGGTAGTGACTCTTGGAAATGTGGAGGACATAGTAAAGGGCTTTGCCGAGCTGTTGTCCCCCCACTACAGTGGAAAGGCAGGCTGAATGCACATCCCCATCTTGGCACTGGATCATCTTGCCAAGGAGTTCATAAACCTCACAGAACTTTTCGATGGTGCTGCAGGCGCTGGTGGATCACAATAGACGTTTCACTGACATCAACGTGGGATGGCTGAGAAAGGTGCGTGACATGCGCTTCTTTAGGAACTTCTGTCCACATTCTAGGGCCCCTCGGAGAGGAGTCTATGGACCCTGGCACTGAAGGAATGTTGCTCCACAAGGGCTGGGGGGGACGAGAGGGGGGGAAACCTATGCAGAAACACGTCCTGGGAAGCTGCTATGCAATCCATCACATCCATCTTGGACCACATCAGTCTCTTCTGGTTTTTCAGTTCCTGATTCCTACACACTCTCTTGTCCTCACATTCAGCACACATCTCCTCCATAAGCGTGCTCCTCCATTCCCCTAATTACTCCGTGTCCAAGCAGGCAGATTGCATCCGCTCCTTGAACATTTCATCCCTTGCCTGTTTTCACCTGTGGATTTGCTGGTGGAGTGCACCGCAAGCTCCCGGTGTTCCTGCTGTAACAAAAAGTGAAGGGCAGACTTTTTAGGAGATACATTGTAGAGTGTAAAACCAAATCTTTTAGCATAGAGTGAAGGCCTCTCCAAAGACAATGAGAATGTGTCTGTGCCAGGCCAGAGTTATATTTTTACGCAGCCACTATGCAGCAGGTACGCAACAAAGTTCTTAAGGGAGCTTAAGTTCAGTTGGGTATTCTGTTTGTTGGCAAGTATGATAAAGGACATGTAGGGCACGTTCCTGTAGGCAGGAGGAGGAACAGGGCACGGTTTTCCTGGCCGGGGGATGATGGCTCATGCGACTGCCCTCTGTGTCCAGCACACCCCACTTCCTGGGAGAGTGCTACTTTCCCAACCTACAGGAAGGCCAGATGCTGAAGCCATGCTTCACTGGGGATGACAAATGGAGGTTAGCAACTAATAGCTTCCCCTCCTTTATCCGGGTTGCCATACAAGATTTCAGTCTTCTCTGACACACACGGAGTGATATGGAGCCGATGCTGACTGAATGTGGCCAGAAACCTGGGCCTTATGCTACAGTTCTTTGTGCTGCAATGATGCCAAACTACTTACTGCTGGCTTGGCATGGAAAGGTGTCCAAATGTGGAGGATGGAATAAGGCAGCCCTCCCCAGAAACCTTGTGAGAAGGATGAAAGAGCTCCTCTAAGAGTGTCATAGAGATGAGCAGGGAGGATTCCCGCTCCATCTCCAGACACATTGACAAGCTGTTCTGGGCCCTCTTCACTGAGCAGGCACAGAGAATGCCATCACCTCACACCTGTTTGTACCAAGATAAAAAAAGTGTGAACTCACCAGAAGTGCCCTCCCTGGGATCAATGCCTGACTGAGATGTCCTGGGAGGAGGGAACTGTCTCCAATGTGATGAAAAGCTCTTGTCTCTTGATGAAATCAGTTGCCCCAGTCGCCTGCTGACTATCTCCCCCACTTCTTCATCTATGCTTTCCTCCATGCTGCTGACCTAGCCAGCTGGATTGTCTTGAGAGGAATCCAAGATCCAACTTGGGAAAATGATTGTGTGCTCCTCCCCTCCCCCACCCCCGCAGGCTCGCATGCAGCTGGTCGTAGAAGCGGCATGTTTATGGCGATGCGCCATACTGTCCATTTGCCTCCTCTGCCTTTTGGTTAGACTGCATCAGCTCCTTTGAGAGCAGCACTTCTGGGTGTCTCTTTCATAGCCTTTCTCCAGCATGCCCTTTGCAATCTTGCCATAAATGTCTGTGTTTCTTTTGCTGGTTCGTAGCTCCGTACGAATAGATTCTTCTCTACACACACACCAAGGAGAGCCATGATCTCCTGCACTCACCCTGCTGGTGTTCATCTGCAAACCTGAACACTGGAGCCCATGGAGCTCACAGACCTTGAAGTCCTGGCCAGGTGTATTTCTTACTCAGAGTTGGCTGGCCATGCTGCCCATACAGGAAATGAAATTCAAACTTTCCTGGGGCTTTTCCTGTTCACCTGGAGAGTAGCAGAGTCACAAATCCTGGCCAGAGTGGTCACAGCGGGATACTCAGTGGGATGCCTCCCAGAGGCCAAGAACATTGACTTTTGCAACACTGCAGCTACACTACCGTAAATTCGCCCATGCAAGGTCAAATTTAGTATTATTCCTTGTGAAAAGCAGGAGAGCTGAAGTCAACTTTAACAGTTCTTAAAGTCGACAGAACAGGCTTGGTAGTATAGACTCATTGTTTAGAAAATAGACCTAATGTGGTTAAATTCAACCTAAACTCTCAGTGTAGACCAGGTCCTAGTTTTTAAGTAAGTAGGTATCGAGGTCATAAGTCATCACAGTTGTCATCCGGCAGAAAGGCTAATGACCTGCTAAAAGTGAGGTTACTGGAGTGAGTTACAGCAAATGGATCTTCCACTGTAGGGCTGATACATATTGGAAAAGCAACACAGGAAACCTTGTAGTATCAGTATGCATGCTGTCCATATTGTTTGGTTAGCTACTGTAACTTAGTCTTCAGTATTGCTCATTTGATACATTTCACACAGATTAAACTTATTTGAAAGAAAGTTTTAAGTAACTTTAATTTCAGCTGAGTTTGCAACATGAAAAATATTGCATTTTGCTTTATTGTTTCAAAAACATACCCTTTTTCTTCAGATGTACCAGACTCTTTCACTGGCTTTGGTGGAGCTTTCTCTTTCTTTTTCAGATACTCCTTTAGTTTTTCTGCTCTGTCCAAATATTCTGTACACTTCGATCTGATACTCTGCTTTGCTTTATCACCCTGTGCTTCGTCTAAAAAATTGAAAAAGGGTTATGCTTTACTGGCAACCCAAAACCCTCACATAAATCAAAACAGAAAAGGGTAATAATTCTATCCCAATTGTAATACTAAATTTAATAGAATATGTAAGAAAGTAGTGTGTAATAGTTTCTCCAGTCTCAAGTAAGAAAAAGTGAATTAAAAGCCTGCAAGAAATCCCATTACGTGCTTAGCAAATACTTCAAGAGGCATTTAGATGTTTATATTGCCACTATCCACCATGTTATCTGAGCACCTGTCAAACATTTAAAAAACAAACAGCTCTCTCCTTTTTATTGCGTAGGAGAGAAAACTTGATTAAGCTAAAAGGTTTTTGCTTAAGACACACTTTGAACTGGACTCTCAAATGGGAAACACTTGCAAAGAGAAGAGCTCCATGGTGTTAAGCTCATTCTGATTTGTATCACTAAGAAGATGGGCTACTGTGGTTTTCTATCCATTGGAGTTTTTTCAAAGTATGTAGCTTCACTACTAGTTATGAACTTCAATAATCAAGTCTGCAGATCACAAATATAGTGGTCATTACCAGGGCTTGCCAAGCGGCGGCGAGCCCTGCTCGCCAGCCGCACGATTTCGCGCTCTGCGCAGATCGTTCTGCGCATACGCAGATCGCTCTGCACTGCCTCTTCTGGGTTGTAATCTACTTGCCACAGGTGAGTAGATTACATTGTTTGTCGAGCCCTGGTCATTACAACCAGATTTGTGCTGACAGAATGGAGAGCAACTTTCTGGTCAGTTATGTGTGTTTTGGATCCCAGAGCTACATGCTTATCCAACAGCACTGAGATTAAAGGACAGGTCTGCAGGCAACAACAGCATGAGGGAAAATGCCTCTGACAATGGAGATGTGTTATGAGGCAGCAAGTTATTCTAAACACTTCCTTCTTCCTACCGCAATCACTTCAGTTTTACCCAGTTTCAACTGTATCAAGATGCTTTCATCTAGGTGCTTATTTTACCTGGTATTGCGGATGAAGGTACACTTAACAAGAAAAGTAAATGAAATGCTGCACTGTGGATTAGCTAACATAACCTACCAGATCTCCCAAAAGCTTCACACAGATGTTGAATAATATAGTGGAAAGTGACTAAGCCTTGTGAGGGCTTTAGATGTACATGATCAATTACATATGACAACATCATGGAAAAGGATTCAAGCAATTTCAGTGTAGTTCTGTTTACCTCAAAAGCTTCTTATCAGAAAGCCGGGAGTACTTGGTGATCAATGGCATCAGATGCCACAGAAGGCCATCAAGAATAAGATGGATGCCCTTCCTTTGGCTATCAGCAGGAGATAGCCATCTTTGCATCATTACTTGATCTAAAGCCTAACTAACTGAGAAGAATCAATGATATTGACAGATGGACAGCTTCTTGATTAGCTTGCTTAAAAAAAGAATGTTAGTGGGCAGCAGTTTAAGAGATTGGTAGCACTGAGCAGCTGTTTT